ATATTCCATTGTTAGCCTTTTTATTTTAGTTGGTTCTCTTGTGGCATTGCTCATTTCATCTTTTATTCAGATTATTTGTGTCTTTTCCTTTGTTAGTTTTGCTAATGGTTTGTCGATTTTATTGACCTTTTCAAAGAATCAACTCCTAGTTTTGTTGATGGTTTCAATTGTTTTTCTGTTTTCTGTTTCATTTCTTTTTACTCTAATTTTTATAATTTCAGGTTTTTTAGAGGGTGTCAGGTTTTCTTGCTGTTCTTTTCCAATGTGTTGGAGATGTTCATTTTTTTCCTGCTTTTTGATGTGCTTGCTTATTGCTATAAATTGACCTCTGATTACTGCTTTCACTGTTTCCCAGAGGTTTTGGTAAGTGCTGTTTTCAATGTCATTTGTTTCAAGAAACTTTTTAATTTCATTTTTTATTTCTTCTCATACCCACGCATGTTCAAGCAAGGTGTTATTCAACTTCCAAATGTGTGGGGTTTTTTCTCCTCTCTCCTCTTGTTATGAATTTCTAATTTTGTAGCATTTTGGTCTGAGAAAATTCTTTGTATTATTTCTATGTATTTTAATTATTTGATACTTGCCTTGTAACCTAAATTGTGATCTATTCTGGAGAACCCTCCATACACATTGGAGAAGAAGGTATACTGTGCTTTTTTTGGGTGCATTAGCCTATCAATATCTATGAGATCAAGTTGGTTTATTGTGTGGTTTAATTCTTTAGCATCTTTGTTGAATTTCTTTCTCTTAGTTCTATCTTTTCTTGAGAGTGGTGTGTTGAAATCTCCAATTACTATAGTAATGTTGTCTATTTCCTTTTTCAGTTTTGTTAATCTTTGTATTATATATTTTGCAAGTCTTTCATTTGGTGCATAGCTATTTATTATTGTTAAGTCCTCTTGTTCTGTTGACCTTTTAAGCATTATATAGTGACTGTCCTTGTCCTTTGTCATGGTTTTTGCATTGAAATTTATTTTATCAGAGATTAATATCACTACTCCTGCTTTTTTCTCATTGCCATTTGCTTGCTATATTTTTTCCTACCCTTTTATTTTTAACCTTTCTTTATCTTCACTTTTCAGGTGTGTCTTGTAAACAGCATATTGATGGATTTTGATTTTTTTATCCAATCTGCTACTCTTTTTCTCTTCAGTGGTGTATTTAAACCATTCACATCCAGTGATTACTGAGAGGCAAAGTCTTATTGCTAGAATTTTGTTGAGTTCTTTTCGGTGTTGTTGCTGGTTACTTTAGTCCATCCTGCTTTTCGTGGCACCTCTGTGAGAACGTCTCTCAGTGTTTCCTGCAATGCTGGTCTTGTTTTTACAAACTCCCTTAGGTTCTGTTTTTCTGGGAATATCTTGATCTCTCCTTCATATTTGGTGAACAAATTTTCTGGGTACAGTAATCTTGGCTGACAGTTGTGCTCTTTGAATCTTCAATATATGTCACTTCACTATCTTCTTGCTTGCATGGTTTCTGCTGAGAATTTGGCACTTAATATATTATCTGCTCTCCCTTATAGGTCACTCTTTTTGTTTCTCCCTTGCTGCTTTCAGAATTCTCTACTTTCTTTGGTTCTGGCAAATTTTACTATGATATGCCTTGGTGTTTTTCCTTTGGGGTCTATTCTATATGGTGTTCGCTCAGCTTTTTGAATATATATACTCTCATTCTTTATTATACCTGAGAGGTTTTCTTCTAGTAATACTTCCACAACTTTTTTGATGACTTTACTTGCTTCTTTCTATTCTGGGATTCTGATGCTATGCATGTTATTTCTCTTGATGGTGTCCCACATTATTCTTAGATTTTCTTCTTTTTCTTCCTTTTTTATTCTGCTTTTTGCTCTAGCAGATGAGTGGTGACAATTCTATCTTCTTTTTCACTGGTTCTGTGTTCCATCTCTTCAACTCTGTTCATGTGTTGACAGCATGACCATCATGTTGACAGCATTTGAGACATTGTACCTCATATTTTGGATTGTGGTTTCTTGTTTTTCCAGAGCCTCTAATGCCTCATTTGTTTTGTCTGTGAGTTGTTTTTTAAAGTTCCTCCTGGTTTTTGCTTGCAGTGTCCTATAATTCTTCAAGTTTGTCTTTCACCCAAAGAAAATATTCAATCATTGTTCTTTTGAATTCTGTGTCAGAAAGTTCCATCAGACTTTTTGGCTTCAGGAAATCCATTAATACTGTGTCACTTTTGGGGAGTGACATCTTGCTTTGTGCTTGTGTAAGGTTTGACGTAGCCCGCTTCTTTTGAGACATTGTGGTGGTAGAGTTTTTCATGCCTGAGGCAATGATAGGTTCTTGATTTGAAGTGAATGCTCCAGAAGAGGGTGGGGCAGGAAAGTTTCAGTTCAGGGCCTGTGGAAGCAGCCTCTTCTGTTTATAACTGTTGCAGACCAAGGCTTTCTGGACTAAAGGCAGTTAGCTGTTCAAATTCCAGCTGTCAGGCCCTCTTTCAGCAACCCGCTCTGGTGGCCTGCCGCTGCCCCACTCCAACCTGATCACTTTCAGACTTCAATTCCTGGCAACACTCAACTTCTCAGTGATATTTCTTATTATCTAGAACTTTTGCTAACAGAGACATAAAATAGAAACTCCAATTAGCTTATACAGAGGCCACTTGACCGATTTGTAATTGACCATAGAAAGAGCCCCTCGAGGTGCTACACCATGAAAGTTGGCTAGTGCCTTTTGAATCTTCTTTTGCCATCTCTTGTCTGCTTCTCTTGGTATATTTCTTTTTCTGACAGTTGCTACAATCCAGACTTTCTGGATTTCCCACACTTAATGCCTGCCAGCTTTACCAAGTGAGAGGATTCAACTTTCCTTTTTAGCTCCTTGAATTAAAGAGCTCCAAGAGACTTGTCAAACACACACTCTACACACACACCCCTACCTCCTTGTGGCTGTTATCAGATATCCATAATAAAGAATCCCCATTAGTGTCATAATTGATAGTACAAGGAGACAATATTCTTTAGAAGTAAAAGGTGTTCTGAGAAGGAAGAATGGACATTAGCTATTTAACCTTAGATGTCTACCTTATAGATGATTTCTCTTTCCCTCCTTTTATTATATTAGGGATTTTCTCCCTTCCCAGTGTTATTTCAAAGGCACCACCATCCCCTTCCAGACCTGGAAATTCTTCCATTACTTTTTTGGTGTGTCTCAAAAGTCAGTTGTGAAAAGGCAAAGTGCAGGTTTATTATTAAACTTTCAAGGCAAATTTGCCTCATCGGCCTAAGTTGATGGAGAGTGAGAAGCTCATGCTGGCCGGATAGGGGTGTGGGGGGAGAAGACAAGGTAGATTGGATAAGAACAGGGAGTTACAAGAGAACACCCTGCTTTTGAAATCAGAAGACTAAACATATCACTGAACTGCTGAATGAACTCAAATAATTCCTTTCCTTTCTGAGCTTTGTGTTCTTTCAAAATGTGAACGAGCTGGTCTTGATTTTGCCTGAGGGCAAGCCACAGCTGCTGCTCTTGGAACCATCAAAGCCAATATGCTGGCATACCTACCATTTCATCCTGTAACTAACCACTGAGGAAAACCCTAAGGGTCTCTCCCAGGGTGGGGGTGGATGTTCTGGTAGAGCGAAGAGAACATCATTGCTCTTGTCAGTTGTAAAATCACAGAATGGCCCCTGGTCATGAGCCAAGCTGGGACTCTATAAAGTCGGTCTCACTCTCACCTCTTAGACACTTGATTCATGACAACATGTGGTGCAGCAGACTCTTGATGCTGGGGGCATTCCTTGCCTTTGGGGTGCTGGCTGTAGATGCTTCTGGTGAGTAGATGGGCAGCATGAGTGGAACTGGTGTGAGCAAGGGAGACTCTCTGAGGCACCTCCTGGGTCCCACTAGGAGGGAGTCCTTTGGAAGCAGTAGACAGGTGTGCAGCCACTTCCTTCACATGGGGTGGGGAGAGAATCAGAATTGCTCAAAAGTCTCCCTGCACTTTCCACCCAAGGTCTGGAGGGGGCGAAAAAGATGTTGTTACTCTGTGGCTTTGGTCTCAATTGCTGATGCCTTTGCAGAACATAAAAGGTGAGAAGCCTCAGGACTTTGCCCTCTGAAGGTTTTCTACCTGCTCCATGAAAGCACTTGTGTTAAGTCCTCTAAGAGGTGCTTAAGAACCTTTATTTGTCGAAGGAGGAAGCTGAGGCTCCTTCTACCCTAGTGTCATCTGGTCACTGCTGGTGCATGGTGAACCATATTTCATAAAGTCTCCAAGAGCTGTGACCTTAGAGAAGTGGTTTGCCTTTTATTTTTCCTTTGTGCAGTCCTACTAGGTAGATTCAGATTGCCTGATGTTTAGTTAGCAGCCAAGTAAACTTTGGCACCAAGGCCACCTAAACCAGAGAGGAGTGAGTGAGGGTTTGTCGGGGCTGCTCAGCGCCCGCATGGGGTGCAAGCCTCCTGGCACCTGGAGTGGGAGTTCTCCTCTCTCCACTCAGTTCCCTCATGGAATAACTGCAGCCTAGAATCTGCCTGAAAACCTTAGAGCTTGGCATGAAGAGAAAGAAAAAAAACCCATCTAAGAGCCATGATCCTGTGAAGGGAGCAGCCTTCCAAGAGTCAGACCACATCTCAGCCCATGGCTTGGGGACACTGCAGAGAGGAGCAACCGGTCATGATTAGAACTCAAGTAGGGACAGAGGAATCTAAATGCTGGTACATCTTTTCTTTTGACAGCTAAAGGTCAAGTACCTGCAAGAAATCCTTTCTTCGGCATGGATATTGAACCTATTGAAGAACTAGCTCCAGTCAACAATGAGAGTCCAGGCAAAGGGCATAATGCAGGCAGGGGACATAACGTGGGCAGAGGACTTAATGACGAGATACCAGGAAGAGGGCATAATGATGAGATTCCAGGCAGAGGGCACAACACAGGCAGAGGACTTAACTATGAGATTCCAGGCAGAGGGCATAATGATGAGATTCCAGGCAGAGGGCATAACGATGAGATTCCAGGCAGAGGGCATAACGATGAGATTCCAGGCAGAGGGCACAACACAGGCAGAGGACTTAATGATGAAATGCCAGGTAAAGGACATAACGTGGGCAGAGGACTTAATGATGAGATACCAGGCAGAGGGCATAACGCAGGCAGAGAACATAACGTGGGCAGAGGACTTAATGACGAAATACCAGGCAGAGTGTATCACGATGAGATTCCAGGCAGAGGGCATAACGATGAGATTCCAGGCAAAGGACATAACACAGGCAGAGGACTTAATGATGAGATTCCAGGCAGAGTATATCATGAGGAAATTTCAGGCAGAGTATATCACCACGAGATTCCAGGCAGAGTGTATCACCACGAGATTCCAGGCAGAGTATATCATGAGGAGATTCCCGGCAGATTGTATTACGACGAGATTCCAGGCAAAGAGCATCACGACGAGATTCCAGGCAGAGTGTATCACGATGAGATTCCGGGCAGAGGGCTTAACGACGAGATTCCAGGCAAAGGACATAATGCAGGCACAGGGCATCATGACGAGATTCCAGGCAGAAGGCTCAACGACGAGATTCCAGGCAAAGGACATAATGCAGGCAGAGGGCATCACGACGAGATTCCAGGCAAAGGACATAATGCAGGCAGAGGGCTCAACGACGAGATTCCAGGCAGAGGGCTCAACGACGAGATTCCAGGCAGAGGGCTCAACGACGAGATTCCAGGCAAAGGGCTCAACGACGAGATTCCAGGCAAAGGACATAATGCAGGCAGAGGGCATAATGCAGCCAAAGGGCCAAGTCCTGTCTTACACAAACCTGGCACCTGCCCTACGGCCCTCGGCCAGTGCACCACGTTTGACACCACGAACCACTGCACCAATGACCTTGAGTGTCCAGGGCCCGAGAAGTGCTGTGAGGGCCCTTGTGGGATGAGTTGCGTGGTGCCAGACCTGTCGTGAGGTGAGCCCTGGGGAAAGGAGGAGTGGCTTCAGAGGGCATAGAAGAGGAGTGAAGGGTGGGGATGATCTCAGACTAGGTTGGAAAGAAGGTGTAGGGAAACGATGGAGGGATTGACAGGCACCTGAGGTCATAATTGATGTCTTTGAAGAAGGCAGATAAGTGGAAGCAATCCTGTCTCCTCACTGTCTTTGACCTGCTGAGTGACATTTATTAATTTCTACTTTCCCACTAGATGGAATATATCATCGATGCACCAGTGAAGTCCCCAGGGCTACGGAACCCCTTCTGGTTTTGGAGCCTCACAGCACTATCATCCTCCACACTGTTCATGCTTCTTCTCATTAAGGATGTCAAGTCTAGGGTGCTTCTCTCGTCCCATCCCAATAAAAGATCCCCTATTACTGCATCTGTTTCTAGCTTCTATGTCTTGGATATAGAGTAGGGCAGAGGGATCTGGTAAACCTATTCCCTCTACGCAAAGGAGATCAAAGACGAGAACAAAAGACTTCTTTAAATGGCTTAATGCTAGAAATCTAACCATCAACCCAACTACTGAAATTTCTATTTCACCTGGAGATCTAGAAATTTTGCCTTTGGCCTAGAACCAGGGAAAAGCCCAAACATTTCACATAAGGGTTCTTCCCCACTCCCCGGTCTACAAGGCTGATGTTTTTCTATCTGTTCTGGAGTGTGACCAACCTCTTCTTCTGAGCAAAAACCATAGCTTCCTGTCTTCAATGTTTCCCTGAGGTCTCTATGTCCACTTTTCACATATGGACATGGTGAGTTTCAAAGACCAGGACATTGTATAATCTATAGTATGTGAAAATGGAAGGAGCTCACAAAGTGGAGGAGGGTGGCCTTGTTACATAACTGTGAAACCACATGCTTATATCCTTGTTAAGTTATGCAATTACAGAACTGCCAAAACACATCATTAACTGCCAGACCACTGGGAACCATAGTTCAGCCGAATGGACACACAACTTTAACCCTCAGAGCCCAGTTTCTGTCACAACACATCTCAGGGTTCATTATTGCCAGCCATGTGCTACTTATTAATTCATCAAAGAGTTGGTTAATAAACTTTTTTAAACTATTGTCATAAATATGAGGATTCTCTAGGGAGTAAGCAGTAGGGAATAGTGCTGCTAACCCAAAGCTGGGAGGTCAAATCCACCAATGGCTTCAAGGGGGAAAGAGAGGAAGTCTCCTCCTGTGTGATCTATGCCTCAGAAAATTTGCTGGAGGGTCAGCTGTCAATTGACCCCAACTCCATGGAAGTGAGTGAATGAGTGAGTGACCATAACTATGAAATGTCAGATAAAGAGATAATCAGTAAATGAATAGGTATACACCCAAGAAAACATAGAAAGAATGATGTAAAAGTTGTTGAGAAATCCTGCTTTTTAACGAATTTCATCTGTTGGTGCCTGAGTTTCCTCTACTTGTCCATTATTTTTTTGAGGTTATGCTTTCCATTTTAAGATATGGATTAGGAGACAAGACATTTGTTGTTGTTGTTGTTGTTGTTAGGTGCCGTGGAGTTGAATACGACTCATAACAACCCTATGAACAAAAAGATCTGGACCCTGTTCTATCCGGCACCATCCTCACACTTCCTGACACACGAGAGCGCATTGCAGCAGTCACCACGTCAATCCACCTGGTTGAGGGTCTTCTTCTCCTTCGCTGACCCTCCACCCTTCCCAGCATCATGTCCTTCTCAATGATCTTGCCTATTCTGAATATTTTATAAAGATGGAATCTTACAATATGTGGCTTTTTGTCTGAATTGTGTGCTAGTCTTTTTTCATTTAGCATTATGTTTTCAAGGCTTATGCCGTGTCAGTACGTCAGTCTTTCTTATGGTTAAATAGCATTTCATTGGATGAGCTATAATATTGTTATGTTGTTGTTAGCTACTGTTAAGTCAGGCACAATTCATAGTGACCCTATGACCAACAGACCTGAACTCTGTCCTATCCTGTGCCGTCTTTATATCACCTCTGACGCACATGTGCCCATCACCGCAGTCGCTGTGTGTTTCATCTCATTGAGGGTTTTCCTCTCTTTCATTGACCCTCCACCTTTTGAGCATGAGGCTCCTTAAGTCTATCTGTCTGTCAGTAGATGGATATTGAGATTGTTTTTGTCAATGTGACAATACTTTTCTAATAGTAAGTGAAACTCAACTGTGGAAATTGAAAGCATGTGTAGGACAAAACAATATACAAACAGAGTAAAATTATAGTTAACAATGAGTCAGAAAAATATTCATAAAACACTAAAGGAAATGGTGATCCCCCCCCCTTTAAAACACTCTTAGAGATCAGTTAAGGAAATTTAACAAACTAGGAAACTTAAAGTGAAGTAAGGAATGAGTAGAGTATGGCTGTATAATTTGACACATTAATCAGTGTCATGGAATTACCCATATCCAAATTAAGTCAGTGCATATTGTTATGTAGATTTTTTTTTTAATTTTTGTGTGAGTGTACCGTCAAATCAGATCTGACTGGTACAGGAGGAGATTGTCTCTCCTTTTCCCGGCAGAGCATCTGGTGGATTCAAACCATGTGCCTCTGGGATTGTAGTTGCAGCTCCTTGCCACTAGGCCACCAGAGCTCCCCGTTATGTAGATTCTTTTTTTATTATTATTATTAATTTAGTTGTTATGTAGATTCTTTTTTTTCTATAATTATATTTTATTAATTTTCATAAACATTTACAGAGATTTTGGGTTTCCATTCATTCATTGTTGCACTATTCTCTCTACCCTCCTCCCAGTTTGTTCTTGTCCAAATGCCACAGTGCTTGTCAAAGCCAGTTCTGATTAATCTTCTTTGTCAGTGTGTCCTTTGCCATTCCCTATCACTCCTCCCTGAGAGAGACTTCACCCTGAGTCATAAGGGAAAGGGGATGGCGTATTCTCTTAGCTACTTCCTGCTGAAAAGGGACGCTGTGGGTTTCAGGGTGAAGATCTTCTCTCACTACTCTAAAGGGCCCCTTTGGCAGTAGGAAACACATAGACTATTATGGAGATTGATTTTGGAATTTAGATGCACTCTTATTGATTGTGCTTGGCCGTACATGTTCATATCCTTGAAGATGTATCATGGGGGTGTTGCAACCCAGAAGACACAAATTTGACTAACAAGTTATAAGTACATGAGTCAAAAATTATGGAAAAGTAAAAGAAAAGATTCTTTCATTGTTTTACAAACCCTCCCCCAGGTCCCCTCCACCATGTAGCCCTCACTCTAGACTCCTGTGATGACAGAAATACCTAGTTATATATCTCTTTTAAACAGTTTTCTCCCTCCTCCGTTTCAGTGCAGTATACATTATTGAACCCATCTTACTCAGTCTCTCCCCAACCCCAAGGACAGTCCCATTCTACAACAGTGGCATCATGTAATATTTGTCCTTTTGTGACTGGGATATTTCACTCAGCATAATGTTCTCCAGAGTCAACCATTTTGAATAATATTGCATGAGTTCCTTGTTTTTTAATGCAGCATAGTATTCCATTGTGCGAATATACCACAGCTTCTCTAGCCATTCGTTTGTTGATGGGCACTTAGGTTGTTTCCAACTCCTTGCTATTGTGAACAAAGCTGCAATGAACATGGGTGTTCATATATCTGCTTGGATGTCAGCTATGGTCTCTTCAGGGTATATTCCCAGTAGTGGAATTGCTGGGTCAAATGGTATCTCTATTTGCAACTTTTTGAGAAAGCGCCATACTGCTTTCCACAGGGGTTGCACCATTTTACACTCCCACCAACAGTGAATCAGGGTTCCAGTTTCTCCACAACCTCGCCAGCATTTGTTGCTTGCTGTTCTGTTAAATTTTGCTATTTTGACTGGGGTGAAATGATATCTCATAGTTGTTTTAATTTGCATCTCTCTTAGGGCTAGGGATTTTGAGCATTTCTTCATGTGTTTGTTAGCCATCTGAATGTCGTCTTCGGTGAAGTGCCTGTTCATATCCTGTGTCCATTTTAATATTGGATTATTTACCTTTATCTTGTTGTGGTGCTCAAGTATTTCATAAATTCTGGATATAAGTCCCTTATCTGATATGGTATTACGGAATACTTTTTCCCAGTCAGTGGCTTCCCTTTTTACCCTACTGGAGAAGTTTTTGGATGTGCATAGGGATTTGAGTCTTAGAAGATCCCATTCATCTATGTTATCTTCTCCTGGTTGTAGGTTGTTATGTAGATTCTTAACAATAAAAGTAAAAACTATTTTAAAAGAATCTTAATCCAATAGAAACGAGAGCAAAGAACATGAAGAATTGATTGGAGGTGGGATGGGTTGAGGTGATGAATCCCCGGATGAATATGAAAGATTGCCCTAGCTCATTGTTGATTAGAGACACAGAGGTTGAAACATCAGCAAATGTTCATTGTAGTTTATCTCCTCGGTTTCAGTTAACAACTTTGAGAGCCAGTTCTATGTGTAGTAAAGTAAAGGAACCAGGTGGAGAGAGGGACTGTCTGAAAAGGCTTCTTCAGTTCCTCTCATCAGGAGAGATCAATAAGGATTCTAGTGACGCTCAGGTTCTGAAACTCAAAAACACCTCTGCCCTTGAGTCAATGCCAATCCTAGTGACACTCTATCATATCCGAGGCTGTAAATCACAAGAGAAGACTCTCTGCCTGTCTTTTTTTTCTTGAAGAGCAGCTGCTGGATTTGAAAGCCCTGAAACACCCTTAAAAGTGCAGGGAGTTGAGATGATGAACAATGAGAGCATTAAGAGGTGCTACAGACCTACACTTAACAATAGTTGATTGTCCACTTGCCAAGTCACCTTCATCTGCAGCAACTTTCCAAACGTCCTCATGATTTGGCATGCTGTTGTGCACTGTCTCACTGCTCTAGCAAGCCTGTCTCCAGCCTGTGGTCCACCCTTTATGGTTCAGATCAAGGGAAGTCATTTACATGACCTTACCAAGATGCTACCCCCACATCTTAGAGCTAAGCCATT